ATACGGAGTTCATATATCTCAGTTGATTCGACACACAGATACATGTGAGAATATGCGCTACATATGAACTATTTCTAAATCGAGGTGAATTTTTGATGAACAAGTTGATGAAACAAGAATATCAGTAGTCTCGTTTAAAGTCATCATTTCGTAAGTTCTATGGTCAGCACAGTGACCTTGTAAGCAAATGCAATTATCATCGAGTCAAATGCTGAACGTTTTTCCTACTAATTGTTAGTCCATTATTTATACACTGAATTGATCAAGGATTTTTCTGTTATTTCTCGATCATGACAAGGAGCACACGGCGGGTGTAACCAGTCGGCAGGGGATGCTCACTTCTCCATGGCATATGATCCCACCTCTGACATTTTGGAGGTCTATGATTGCTCTACTCCTATTTTGTATTTTTTTATGGACTTTTGATCTTGAATTACTGTTGTTAGTATGTTTTTAGACCACGATCGACCAGATCGACCAGGAGCAACAACTCAAGCTCAGGAAAGATTCATCCGCACTATTACTAGTACCTTGAGAAATCGCCTTCTAGCAAATTTTAAATCTTCAAAGGGATACAGGCTTGGTAGTGAGTGACCAGACCAACAGGAATCGACTGCACAGATTTCACTTACACACCCGACGTCCTACTGCCATTCCTTGTTTGAGGGATTGTCGAATTATGACCTCTAATGGTGTCGTCACCATCAACGCATCGATAATCGCCGATGGAACTATGCAATGTTCTCAGATGGGTCGAGGTTCACTATGGACGTCCTGAACAGACGCAGAAGGGTTTGGCACAGACATTACGAACATTTCCATGACATTAACTTCATTATGCATGATCAGTGTACTTATAGGGGAGGATCTGTAATACTGTGGGAATGCATCACTGTTACTGAACGTGTCACATGTGCATGGCAGTCTACTGGGCAACATCTTGGCACCCCATGTTGTGTCGTCGTTTTGCACGTCGTCATGCCCCCCTCCCCCCCGTTTCATTTTTAATTCAATGCAAGGCGTCATAGGCCAGAATCGTCACAGATTACCTCCGACGGAAGAATATCACCACATTACAATGGCCCGCACTAAGTCCGGACATTTACCCCACTGATCAAACATGTATTTAATAATCCAATAGGATTTCGGACGGAGTATGGCTTTTTAAAAGTTGGAGGTTGGTCAACCTGGGGGGAAAATACTTGTTTGAATTACCTGAAAGTTTTTTGAAAAACGAACCCGAAAATCCTATGTTATAAAGGGATGGGGTTTCATTTTGTTTTCAAAACCGAATTTCCTTATATATATTAAACGTAAGTCTTTCACTGAACATTTTCTGTAATAAAAACATTACAAAATGTGGGACTTTCATCTTTCTTTCTCTCTTTTCCAAATCCAAATGGGGTTGCGACCCCCGTAACAAACCCCCCCCCCCTTTCTGGATCCGCAACTGTAATTTTTATACTTCATTTAAAACAGAGGATTTTAAAATATTTTAACGAACGACAGATTCTTTCCATTGCACAATAACCTTGATTTTAAACAAGTAGCGACAAAAAACCGGACCTAATCATCTGTGGTGCAAAACATCGGTGTAAATCCGGTTTTGTGAATTCCTTCCGAGAATTTACCGTGTTTAGGTTTCAGTGTCAATTTCCTGTTTCAACACAACGTAGAAAAAATATTGTGAAAAACGTTTTGTAAAATTGACTTATTGTACTGTTCATCAAGTAAGTATATCATATTTATTTCCAGACAGTTTTAGAACTAAGGTTACGGTTGTGAAGATTACATTCATTGCAGAATATATAGTTCTCACACTATTTTTAGGACGGGTCTTGGGAGGGAAAGTAGTGAATAGCAGAAAAATCATTATAGGGCCTACCTATAAACTCGTCAAACACGTTTTTAGTGATATCTATTGTTTGTTAATTATTAAAATCTGTCTTTATGTAGCAACATAAGTAGATATAATATGTTGACGGTAGTGTTGTCACGATGATCGATTTATAATCGATCATCGGTCGGAAAGGCTGTCGATTTTAGACAGTCGATTGGAGATTTTAACAATCGATAAATCGGTATATTTCAGCACATATCTTTTTTACAGTTCTCTCACTTTTATTTCAAGAACAGGCTCAATTGTTATCAAAATATATATCTTTCAAGAGCTGTCCTTTACTATTTTAAAATACATGTACTTAAAATATGTTTAAAATAAATCAAAAGATAATGATATTTGTATTTCTAAACTGAAGAAACTAAACTACTTGTTTAAATAAGATATATTAATTTTCAGTATTTGGGAGGATTCACCTGTCATTTCATACGGAATCACAAGGAATTTGCAATATTAAATGTCTTGAAACAGTTTAAAAACTTAATTCCATATACATTTTAGATAATCATGTAAATTAAAACCTGACCTGTCAATGCTTACTTTTCCTTGGCCAAGTAATTCCTAATCATGCAAAAATCTGTATTACTGAAATCGTTAATCAAACTGCATACCGGTATATACTGTTTTTAGAATTTCAATCTGTGCAATGCACCTTTACTTACATAATTTAACAATAAAATTCTAATTTTTATAAAATTGAATGCCTATTTTATGCACAGGGTTACCGATTCGATTATTGGCTGATGATCAGTTGGTTAGGGTCAACCGATGTTACCGATTAATCGATTCTGAGTTTCAACCGATTTGACAACACTAGTTGACGGTACAACCTGTAGGGCGAGCGCAGTTTTCATTTAGATCGGGCTCGTCAAACCGCACGTGACATTCGGCGTGTCTAAGACTCTGACGTCATATGACGTCGAATGCATGTTGGATTATCAAACTGAAGCCTGAACAGCGCTGAATTTGTAAATGAAGAACCGTTTTATTGACTATTTTTCTGTAACAAAGTTATTAAATCAAGGCAAGTTTATTTTTCTTTTAACTTTTGTCGTAATTCTCGCGAGAACGTGGCTTTAGCATTTGTGTATGAAGCGGTGCATTGTGGGTCAAAATTACTGCGGAAAAATTTCTATGGAAGGAATGTGCAGTAGTTCGAATTTTCTCTTCACCCAGGTGTTGTCGTTAGAGCTCACAGTTATGAGCGTCGCTTTGCGACGCTCGCTGCGCTCGCTATTATATACAGGTTATTAGATGTATGTTCTTACGAAATGAGTATTGAAAAATGAACAACACTCTCAGGTTGGAGAAAGTTACTTTAATTGAACTTGGAATGGGACCTCTCAATAAACGAATCGGAGCAAATTAGAGATCGGCACAGGGGCCTGCTCTTGGTGTGTAATAATTATTTAGGATAAAATCATACAAGCATTTCCTTACTTCAACCTCTGTTATATTTTACCAACTCACTTCCATTGATCTGTCAGGTCTTCACAGGGATTTATCAAAGCTGTTTTTACTACCGGCAAACGTTAAGTTTCCCCTCTTGAAAAAGGTGCAAAAATTCCCTTTTTTCAGATAGAAAATTTCCAGATTAAATGCAGAATATTTAAAACATCGTTCTGAAATTTTCCGTTTTTGTCCGATTGAAGTTTAACAGCATATCCTAATATACCATCCTGGTCATTCAAATGCTTTTAGAATAAAGAATAGATTTTCAAGCTTCTATATGATATTGATCGGTAAGCATGTGCCATGTCCATGATATCAAATGATACGTATGCGACTGCAGAGTTAAAATGAAAAGTTTAGATGAGTTAGATGGAGCTTATATCACTATGAATCGGAAGAATGGAGTAACAACAAAAACAATGTTACTAGTGAAACATGAAAAACAGGAGAATTGATTTGTGATAAATATTCAGATTTCAGAGGAAAGGTTAAATAAAGTATATACTAGACCTGACCTGGTTTTACATTTTTTTGTTATTTCATATTTTGTCTAGAAAGTGAAGTTTTGATGGTGTTTGTAAAGGTCTAGAAATTACCCTCAGAAGCTCTAAGAATGCAGGATTTTGCTTCATTTATTTAAAAATTTTCCGCTGGGGCATGCCCCCAGACCCCCCTAGCATACTTCCGCCTCCGGCGCTCAATTTGTGCCTGCGGTTCTCATTTTTCCCCTTCATATATAAAACGGTAGTAAAAGAAAATAGCTAGATAAATCCCTGCGTCATGACTTATAAGTAGTAAGCAGATCCCTATTATACAGAGTATTGCTGACTCAGTGACTGAAGATGACCATTTCATATGATTTAGTTCAATTAGATGTAAAAACACAAAAGCAAGTAAGAGTTTCTGTCATTTCAGGTGTAAAATCAGGTGTTTAAAACACTAGAAATGGGGAGATACAGCTCCAGCCCTGACGTCAGAAGAAGGAAAGCTTCATACTCTAGCAGTGATTCCTCAGATGACAGTTCACACAATAGCAAAAGGTCACCAGACAGACAACAAAAGAAATCTAAGAACAGTCAGAGGAATAGACGTTCAAGATCAAGATCATTTGATAGAAAAAGACGCTCTCGGTCAAGGTCATATGAGAGAAAAAGGGATTCTCATTCTAGGTCAAGTTCACCTAAAAGGAAAAGACGTTCAAGGTCAAGGTCGTTTGATAAAAAGAGGCGCCTGAAATCTAGATCACCTGATAGGGGAAGAAATTCTAATGGTTATTTACACTCAGACAAACGTTCAGCTAAGTCACCTCAGAGATACAGGTCAAGGTCACCATCACCTCAGAGATACAGGTCAAGGTCACCAATTTTTGAACCATCTTCATCTAGAGGGGATATGTATGGACATGATGATAGGTCGTCTCCAAGGAGATTCAACAGAGAGGAGGGGAATAGTGACAGATCACATCATTTTAACGGTCACGGCAGAACGGGGCGCTTTAACAGAGGTCATAATGGCATGCTACCCGACTTTTTTGACAGGTATGTGAAATTGTAAAATTAAAGTTACAGATGAAGGGATACACATTTTACAAGAAAAAATTTAACACTATTAAGTATTTAACTTTTTAATTAATTTAATTGCATATGTTGACAGTTGTTTAGCTTATCAAAATGATCTGCAAGCGTGTACATAACATCCATCTGTTATATCATAACTGGAAATCTTGGCCAAAAATTTTTTCTTAACAACCTCTGAATTCATATCCAAGTTTTTCTTCTATTTGAAGCTAAAATATCTTTTGTAATACATGTACATTGAATTGTATACATGAGAGTCATTACAGTGCTTATTAGGCTAGCTGACAATTATTTTTATGTTTTTGCTCTTTAGACGCCGAGAAGAGAGAGAAAGAATAGGAGAGATGGGTATCTTTGAATGCTGGGGCCAGTCACCGACACATGCCACTATTTCAGACTCAGAGTAAGTGAAAAATGGGAGAGACACTCTAATTTTACAATTTTGAAAAGATACTTTTGTAACTGATTTCTTTGCTTTACAATTATATTATATTTAAAAAATTGCTAGAAAAGTAGAGTCCTAATTCAAGTTAAAGAAATAAAAACATGCTAGAGTGATTAGAATTGACTAAACATTGAAGTCATACCTTTTTTTTCTCACAAATAAAAAAAACACAACAAAATATGCTTGTTAATACTCTTGTGTCATCAATCAACAGTTATAAGTATGTTTGTCAGAAAAGTAATGTATTTATTTGTGTAATATAACTGTGTCAATTATGTTTTCAGGTCCGAATCAGACAGTGACAAGTCAGCTGCCAGTGGTTCTTCTTCAGGTAAACATTCAGAAAAGTCTGTGAAACTTAAACATGTATGCTTGTGAGATGTTTGCAGTAAATAATACTGACGCTTTTAGGCAGTAAAAAGACACGCAATTATAAGGTACTGTTCAATGATCAAGGCTCTTAAAGTCAGATAAAGGGCTAAGTATATAAAAATGAAATTTTGATTGGTAGGAAAAATGGGAAAAGACCCCAGATTTAAAAAAAAGAAGTTATTTATTTATTTTGCTTTTTAGAGGACAAAAAGAAAAGAAACAAAAAGAAAAAGAAGAAGGAGAAAAAACACAAGAAGAAAAGTGCTAAGAAGTGAGATATATTATTATGCAAATCATCAGTCGAGAATGGCAACAGCTTAACAGAAAACATTTCTGAGTCTAAGTCATTAAGAATTTTTTTTTAATACATGTACATGTACGAAGTATGTTTTTCAATGTCCGCATTTTTATAAGAGTCTATCAATGTCTTGAAAAAGATTTCAATATGAAAACCTTCTCATAAAATTATTTTGTTGTGAATTAATCATCAGTGATCTCTAACAAAGTAAGGGAAAAATGGGAATGGCCAATTTTTTTAAGGTCACCTGAGTAACTCAGGTGACCTATTGCTATCCGTTTTCGTCCGTCGTCGTCTGTCGTGCGTCGTGTGTCGTGTGTTAACATTTGAACATTTTCAGCTTCTTCTCTGAAACCACTGAACCAATTTCAACCAAATTTGGTATACAGCATTTATGGGTGGAGGGAAACAAAAATTGTGAATTTCATGGTCCCCGCCCCCCTGGGGCCTGAGGGGTGGGGCCAAAACCACTAAAATTAATGAAATCTTTAAAAATCTTCTTCTTTACTCCTGGACATCAAGCAGGCAAACTATTGGCATGAATGTAATGAGCATTGAGTCCTCTACCAAAATTGTGAAATTCATGGCCCCAGGGTCAGGGGTTCTAGTGCTAGGGCGGGGCTCTATAGATTATATAGTGAAAATGCATTATTTCTTCGAAAATCTTCTTCTCTGCTCCTGGGTATTAAATACACTAAATAAGCACATAGTTATGATGAGCAAGAGTGCCTCTCCCAGATTTGTGAATTTCATGGCCCCAGGGTCAGGGGTTCTGGTGTTAGGGCGGGGCTCTATAGATTATATCTATAGTGAAAATGCATTATTTCTTTGAAAATCTTCTTCTCTGCTCCTGGGTATTAAATACACTAACTAAGCACATAGTTATGATGAGCAAGAGTGCCTCTCCCAGATTTGTGAATTTCATGGCCCCAGGGTCAGGGATTCTGGTGTTAGGGCGGGGCTCTAGATTATATAGTGAAAATGCATTATTTCTTTGAAAATCTTCTTCTCTGCTCCTGGGTATTAGATAAACTAAGCACATATCTATGATGAGCAAGAGTGCCTCTTCCAGATTTGTGAATTTTATGGCCCCAGGGTCAGGGATTCTGGTGTTAGGGCGGGGCTCTATAGATTATATAGTGAAAATGCATTATTTCTTAGAAAATCTTCTTCTCTGCTCCTGGGTATTAAATACACTAAATAAGCACATAGTTATGATGAGCAAGAGTGCCTCTTCCAAAATTGTGAATTTTATGGCCCCAGGGTCAGGGGTTCTGGTGTTAGGGCGGGGCTCTATAGATTATATAGTGAAAATGCATTATTTCTTTGAAAATCTTCTTCTCTGCTCCTGGGTATTAGATTAACTAACTAAGCACATAGTTATGATGAGCAAGAGTGCCTCTTCCAGATTTGTGAATTTCATGGCCCCAGGGTCAGGGGTTCTGGTGTTAGGGCGGGGCTCTATAGATTATGTAGTGAAAATGCATTATTTCTTTGAAAATCTTCTTCTCTGCTCCTGGGTATTTAATAAACAAATTAAGCACATAGTTATGATGAGCAAGAGTGTCTCTTCCAGATTTGTGAATTTTATGGCCCCAGGGTCAGGGGTTCTGGTGTTAGGGCGGGGCTCTATTGATTATATAGTAAAAATACATTTATTCTTTGTAAATATTTTTCTTTGCTTTTGGGTTTTAAGCCAATGATCCAAGTATATATATATTTATGATGAAGAAAGGTGCATCTAGAAAAGTGGTTATTAATGCCCCCAGGGTCAAAGGGGGGGGGGGGGGTTACATAGCCTGAAAATAAATTAATGCTTTGAAATCTGCTCTTTGGTATTAATCAACCATTTTATGATAAAATTTGCAAAATTTTGAAATATATGGCCCTGGGTCAGTGGTTCCTTTGGGGTGAGGTGCACAACTGGTTATAAAGTGGAAGTGCATTTTCTCTTTGTTACTCTGATCTACCTCTGGGTATTAAGTAAATAGAGTAAGCATGCTAAGTTAATAATTATGATATGCAATGGTGCCTCTTTCAAAATTGTAAATTGTGAATTTCATGGCCTCCGGTTTAAACACGAACCAAATTTAATTGTTTGAAAGTTGTTACACAATACTCAGGTGACCTATAAGGCCCATGGGCCTCTTGTTTTTTTCAAATTCAACACGCACATGTACATGTACCATATTTTTTCAAAATTATTAGTTTATAAGAACACATGCAAAGAAGTAAGTGATATATAACAGAAACTGGTTAGCATTGAATGATTTTTTTTGGCCAAGATTTCCAGAGATTTAACTGCCAGAAGGGTTGAAAAATTTAGATTCACTAAATAGCATCTTTCACTTTGTGTTCACTGCTGACCTAATATTCATCTTCATAAGGGTGGTCAATTATAAGACTGTTGATATAATTACACAGTAAGAAGAACAAGAAAAAGAAATTAAGAA